CATCTAAATCTTTTTCTGCCTCTATTCAAAATGGCTACAACATCAGAATAGGTTTTATTCAATTGAATGGCAAACTTAATCTCTACAGAAATCCATGAAATGTGCTCAGATCCCGACAGAGAGGTTCAAACCTCTGGCAGTTTGTTGAAATGATTGAGTGGGTATAGTATTTTTTAGTTTTGGAGAATGTTTCACTTCTATACAGTTGAAGTGGGGGAAAGCAAACGTAGTTACTGTATTTTAGAACTGCCCACTATATTGTTGTTCTTTTTTATTGTTGCCCCTGTGTGCCCTCAAGTTGGAACTGGCTTATTGTGACCTTAATAGGGCTTTCAAGATAGGTGAGATACTTAAGAAGTGGCTTTACTTATTCCATCCCCCCAGTGAGTTTCCATAGTTGAGTTGTTTTTATATGGCTAGTTAATTTGGTCAGTAAAATTTTGGCCGAAATCCTCTTGCTCAGCTTTATGCTGCAAAAGTCAGATGATGTCATTATCCAGCAACAGGAATATTTAATTTAATTTGATTGAAAGCTCCCTTACCCCTACTTTTGGTTTTGTTTTGCCCTACCCTTACACAGGTATTTACACAGAGGCAGTGCCTCCACACAGACATAGTGCACATGCTAAGTGCAACTGTAAGTGCATAGTTAGCATCACACTTGGAGTCGCATAAAAAGAGATGATTCACCTAAAATTGAAGAATCATGGAAACTGAGAACAATGCCATTGGGAGGCCGGACACCATGACAAGCTTGGACACTTAGCAAGGTCCCCCAGGGCGGAATGGACACAACTGAGACTCTTTTCAAGGCACTCCTGGGCAACAGCAGTAGCATAAAGTGACACTGGAGGAGGAGGTGACAGTCCTTTTTAGGACCACTTAGTAGGCAGCAATGGTAAACCCCAGCTTAACTTTCCTTATTGTGAAAACCCTATGATGAGACAGGCGAAGATGAAACAAGAGATAGTGCTGGTAGGTGAGACTCCCAAGTCAGAAAGCATTCGGTCAGCTACTGGGAAAGAGCAGAGTTCAAGTACAAATAAGTCTAGTGATGCAACTAGATTAAAGCCAAAAGGACATCTAGTGTCTGATGTGTACAGTAGTGAAGAGAATATCTGAAGCTGTACAACACATAATTGGAATGTGAAACATGGGACATATGAAACAAGATAAACTTGAAACCAAAAAGCAAGAAATGGAACATTGCAGTGCTTGATTTTGGTGCATTAAAGTCAACTGGAATGAGACATTTTCAGTCAGACAACTAAAAAGTGTACTTTTCTGTAAATAGCAAAATTAGAGTTGCTCTAATACTGAGGTAAGATGTAGCACAGGTAATTAGGGGATATAATATGGGTATGATTAAATAGCTAAGAGGTTCCATGAAAAACCTATCATGGAGGCATTATTCAAGTCTGTGCTCTTAACTACCAGTGTCAATGAAGATGAAATCAAAAGCTTTTATGCAGGCATACATGAGGAAAAAGACAAAAAAAGACATGCTTATCATCATAGGTGTCTGGAATACAAAAGTAGGGGGGAAAGCAGAACCAGATGTTGGGAAATTTAGTCTAGATGTCAGAAATGAAGCACAGGAAACTCACAGTTCTGTGAAACCAACAATCTGTTTGTCGCAGATACATGCTTCAAACAACCAAACATATATGTGAGCCACACCAGATGGTCAATATAGAAACCAAATAGACTGTGTAATTGGAATCAGAGATGGAGAAGCTTCATTCTCTCTGCCAAAACAAGACCAGGAGCAGATTGTGGTACTGATGATGAAAGATCCAACATTAGAGCAAAGCTGAAAAAGAACACTAAAAGACTCTTAGTGCCAAAATGTGATTGAAACAAGATTCCTGATGAATTTGAAGTCCACATAAGGAACATTAGTAATTTGCATTACTAAATTCAACGGACTGTGAAACAGATTTTTTTTTCAGGGGAGTGGAACCAATCCCCAGTGGATATGGGGGTCCTACTGTATATGCATTCCAGGTTGTGTGGGTTCAAGTAGAATGTCCATGTTCTAAATTTACAAACACTGACTGTTTTCGCTGCTGTTCAGTGATAGCAAAGTAGCACATTTCCCAAGGAGCAAGCGGCTCTGCAACTGCATGGATTATATTGGAGTAGATATTGGTAACATGTTATTTTAGAAGTCAGAAGTATCCCATTTAAATAGGGTGAAGGGTTTCCAGGTTTACTACAGTACTTTCATTTCATTTTCTTGCAATCTGAGATGAGAGAAGATGTCCTGATGGAGATGTGGAACATGGGCTTAGCAAATACATATGTGAGAATTCGTTAAAAAAAGCTATATAACAGCTCTGCTATAAACTTAGTGACTTCAAGGAAGCCACAGTCTTCAGACCCAATTGTCTCAAAATAATTACTGATCTCTTTTATGAGGTTATAGAATTGTGAAGATAACTGGCAGTATTCTGTTGCTCGTCTTGACTAGAGTAGGCCTGCTGACTCAATGGGATTTACATGACTGTTCACTAAACAATTGCTGAGTCTAGTCTCTATTTCAGATAGTAGCCTTATTATGTTTTGAATCTTATAACTATGCAATTATAAAGATAGGGGAAGTTTATTTTATTGTGTTAAGTGAAAAACTGAAAGGTTCTGGTATACCGTACTGTGGTGCCCCGCACAACGAGCAATTCATTTAACGACGAATCCGCATAGCGATGTATTTTTTGCGATCGCACAAGCGATTGCATTGCGATGTTTATAATGGTAAAACATTGCTTTGCGATGATCAGTAAGCGTTTGCTTACTGATTTTCACATAGCAATGTTTTTTTAACAGCTGATCGACGGTTCCAAAATGGCCGCCAGGTAAATAAAATGGCCGCCCGCTGTGTTTTTGCCCGGTTTCCTCGCTTACTGGGCAGCGAAAATGGCGGCCGCATGGAGGATTTTTGCAGAACGGTGAGGTTTTTGCCCATAGGAACGCATTAAACATGTTTTAATGCATTCCTGTGGGCTTCTTTGTTCCGCATAGTGACAAATCTGTATAGCGACGATTTTGGCTGCACGGATTATCGTCGCTATGCGGGGCACCACTGTATTTCTTTTCCTCATCTTCATTTATTGGTTCAGATATTGCTTACAAACACTTGCAAACTCCTAGTTAGTTCTATATGACAGCCATATGTTTTCCTTTTCAGGGTTCATGTAAATGCAGGAGTTTCTTTGTTGAATATAACTTTTCAGAACACGACGGGATATCAGAATGAATCAGGTGAGTTTCGACATAAGACTTTCTTCCAAGTTACTGCTCAGATATTAGAATGTCTGTTCTTTCTGGGGTGAGCAGATTTGAAATTCTAATTGAAATCCAATATTGAAGTCTCCTTCATTGAACTATGAAACAGTCCATTCCTGTTCTTTCAGAATATACTGAAAGTTTGAAGCTCTTGGTTTATAGTCAACTGGACATTTTGTGGGAGAGCTCAAGTTAATCCAATCACTGAGTCATTTTACTGGCCTCTTTTACAAGAAATGCTCCCCCAGAAATGTTGCATTCATTTCCTTGGAATTTATTGGCTTATTCCCCATTTAATTTTTTTTTTTTGCAATTTCCAAATCAGCACAGTTTATCAATAGTAGTGACACTGGAAATGTGTGTGTCCCAGCATGTAACCTTACAATGGAATAAATGACATTTTAAGCTATGTATGCATGTTTGAAATTACCTTGTTCTAAGCAAGTACAGCAGCCTGATCCTTCCAGCGTTTACTTGGAAGTAGGCCCTATAGCATTCCCTATAGCATTGAGCAATAGTTATTCCTGATGGCTGGAGCCTTTGCTTATTCTGATTTTTCCTTACAACACTTTTTGGGGGTGTTGTTTTCTCCTCTTTTCACACTTCCTTAGGGCTGTAAAGAATCAGGTAGGCCCATCCTTAAAATTAAAAAAACCAACTAACCTGCACTTATTTAAAAAGAATTGCACTTTTGTTGAGGAGCTTCTTCCTCATGTTTCACAATCAATCTATTTTCACCCAGCCAGTTTTTGTTATTTAATCGTAGCCTGCTTATGTTCTGTTCAGGTTGTAGATTTGCGGTCAGCATTTAAAACTGCCACCTGGGGGGAAAGTGGGGATTCTGCAGTCCACAAAGCCTATCTCTGTCCATTTTTATACACTTTCTTTGTGTCAGTCTAGAGTTTGGAAGCAGAGGGTTAGACCTGAGAGTCAGAGAAGGGAAGCTGTTTGAGAGCTTTTCAGGAGAAGTCGCCTCTGCTAGAGAAGTCTACCTAGAGACTTTTAAGAGTGTGTGTCAGAAAGATTGAGCGTCTGTAAAGTAGTCAGTTGAATCTTTAAATACAGAAGAAACTTGTTTACATTTTACTCTTGTTTTAAACTTTATCGTTCACATCTTGGAATCTACCTTTCCATTCCTAACTGTTGCATGTGCTTTCTGAATAAAAACCCTGTTTGTTTAAATCAGTCTCACCTCATTTATTTCAAGTGTCACTAAGAAGAAGGAAAGCAGACGACAGACAGACAGACAGCAGTGCACCCAAGTCACACAAAGTTACTTGCTACTAGTAGGAACAAAATGATGAATTTAAAATAGAAAGAGTTTTTCATTAAATAGCTGAATGATCGTAAGGTACTGGCTGGGGTTAGGATGCTGTGGATGGGGCAGAGTAGAAGAGGCAACCCCAAAATACTTGGCTGTGGATTGAGGGAGTGGCTGTCCTTTCAGGTTAATGGCTTCCCTTGTGGCACTAAGGAGTGCTGGCTAGATTCAGTGCTAAGGAGTGGCCCTGGCTGCCAGATGGGTGGTATATAAATCAAATAAATAATAATAATAAGGAGATGCCTTGTTGTGACAAACCCAAGGAGAAGGTGACCTTCTTAGGCCATCACCCTCTTGGTGGGTAAGGTTGCCACAGGCTGGTAGGTCATCATACATCAAAAACTGTTAAAAACTAGTGCGGTCAAAGAACCAGTAGGTGCTTGAAATAATGTATGCTGCCCCATAATTAAATTAGGTCTGAGAACAGAACAGGGTTGTAAATAAAATCGCAGGAATGACTATCTTAGCTTACTTATTGATTACCTTATCATGGGAAGTTCGGGAGATATTTTTATCTTCTCCGAGCTCCATGCCAAGGGCTTTTTCCATCATAAGTAAGCTATTTCCCATTCTAAAATCACCACAAATTATTAAAAATGATTAAAATACCCAGAGAGTAGATTCTCTAAAAGGTACTCCAATTTGGCCCAGACCTCTGTGCCAGAATCAGTTGTTCCCGGTGGGAGACAGAATCCGGTGGACGCAGATCAAGGGACCTGGTTTACAGCTTTGGATTATTAGGATTTGCCAATACCTAGAGTTTAATTCAATTATCTTGGTTCCCTTCAAGCGCATAGTGGAGGAAACTGCAATAGCCAGTCCTCCACTTCCTTAACCCTGGGGTTGAATTTTTTGGGGCTGGGAATTCCCATGCTCTATAACCCTGCAAACTTAAAGTATCTTTGTCCACAAGCCAGGTCTCTTGTAGGCAAAGTATGTCATCAGATTGTAGATCCTGTATAAAATCTGAGTCAGCCAATTTATTCCTCCATCCTGCGATGTTCCAAGATAGAAGATTCAGAGGCTGACTTTGTATGTTATCTGGAGTTAGTCAGTCTTGGTAGGGAGTTGTTCGATGTACATATTTGTTGTCAGGGTGCCATTCAAAATCAGGTGTGCCGAAAGTTTGATGGCTGGTAGGAGACTTGTTTCTTGTTGGGAAAGCACCCATCATTGGGGCACCTCTTGTCTGAGTTTACTTGCAAAATCATGAGGCTGCTTAATTAGAATATTGTTGGGGGCAGATTCAAAGGGTGGACAGACTTCTTTCCCTCCATAATTTAAGTTCAGTTCAGGGAGAGGCTCATCAAGATGACTAAGACCTTGCCCCTACATCTCTAGTACTTCTGAATGGGGGCAGGCTCAGCAATTCTATATAATTTTCCATAAGATAGTGCATTCCTTTTTAAATGTACATTATATCCCAAGCCATCGGCCTTTCCCCCTCCTCAAAAGTGCCCCTGCGAATCACAGCATGTGGATAACTGTTTGTATTGGTCTATGTACGTTTCATGTTACAGTTGAGCTGGACATAGACTTGGGGTGCGTTATATGTGAACCCCATTTGAATGATACAGATCTATCTGTGGACTTATACATTAAACTCAAAAAATGATAGGCATCTCCGTTATCTTTAAATGACAGATGAACCCTCCCCCTCTGCAGTTCAGGCTTTAAAGGGTATATACATGAACAGTGCATATACGTTGTGGCATCCCAGTCTTTGCCCAGAATATCCAAGATATACCAAGTTACATCCATACTAGTTTTCCATGTATTATTTGCCCTTTTTAAAGGCTAATTGTACATGGTAATTTGACTTACAAGAGTTCAATGGTGGATCTGAGGTCTGCAGAGTCTCTGTTCCAGGATAGTCCTCCCTTGAATATTGTCGGTGGGGATCGTTTAGGAGCGTGCCACCTCCGTCTGTAGGAACTGGAGAGAAGAACTGTGGCCCATCTGTTCTCCCATAGATAGGGGTGTGGTGGCGCTGCGGGTTAATCCGCAGAAGCCTCTGTGCTGCAAGTTCAAAGACCAGCAGTCGTAAGATCGAATCCACGCCACAGAGTGAGCTCCCGTCGCTTGTCCCAGCTCCTGCCAACCTAGCAGTTCGAAACCATGTAAAAATGCGAGGAGATAAATACTGTAGGTACCACCTCGGTGGAAAGGTAATGGTGTTCCGTGTCTAGTCATGCTGGCCACGTGACCACGGAAACTGTCTTTGGACAAACGCTGGCTCTATGGCTTGGAAACAGGGATGAGCGCCGCCCCCTAGAATTGGACACGACTGGACTAAAATGTCAAGGGAACCCTTACCTTTACCTATGCCTGACTTTCATGAAATAAGCAACTTTGGGGTGGAGCAGAAAGCAGGATTTAAATGTGTATGGATTATGCTAGGTTCTGCAAGAGACAAGTAAAAGAGGACTTGATAGCTGTGCTGTATGTTAAATACTTGCCTCTTGACCAGAACGCTGGCATCAACTGTTAACTCTGCCAAAACTGACTGACTTTTAAAGGAGAAAGACAACAGATTTCTAGTAGTAGGGCAACTCTTAAGGACAATTTTTATTGGAGAAAGATGAAAATAAAGTTTGAGCGGCAGTGTCTTGCAGAATGTATGAGTTGGCATTTCCAAGTGAAGGTCAAATACTGTACCAGCATTTGCTGTTTTATTTTCAAAACAATTGCTTTTTCTGGCAAAGCAGTCTCTATGTCAGAAGTTAAGAGTTTCATAGTCTTTAATAATTGTTCGGCTAGTTAGACACATCAGTTTACATTTTAAATATTCTGGCTAAACAGACAAGAGAATAAGCTGCCTTTGAGGTTATGCAAGGTAAATCTCAGCTGATGGGCCGTGATGGTCTCAGAACTTTTTACTGATCAGATGTTGTATACTTGTTTGTTTGTTTCATGTCTAAGTTTGATGTTTTTATGGATTGCAAAGATTGTGTGGATCTGGGTTGTCCTCTGCAGGATGGGTCTGAGGACTTTAGGCAAAGAATTGTTTGATTGTGAGGTGGCTTGTAAGGTGTTCATCTCCCCAGTGATCAAAGAAAAAATAGACTTGAGTTTCTTGATACAGACTCCAAAATCACTTACCAAACAGATTTAATATGGCAATATTCAGGCCTTGGAAATTCCATGGTAACTAGATACTAGATTTTAAATTGTGTTTTAAATGCCAATTTTTTTTTTTACAAAGTACCTGGAATTTTGAAATGTTGTGGTAGCTAGATACTAGATTTTAAATGGTCTTTTAATGTCAAATGCTTTTATAAGGTATTTGGAATTTTGGAAACTGTAAATGTCTTATCTCCCCCCCCCCCCCCCCCGATCGATTGATCTAAGGACCGTAACAATAAACTGTATGTATGTACTATGTGGGGATTTGAACCGGGGCCTCCTGAGTCCTAGTCCATCACTCTATCCACCATACTGTGCTCATAGCACAGGGGTATCTTACAGCATCATGAAACAAAATTCATGGAAATATTTAAAAATGCACTTACTAACCATAGACAAAGACCTACATGAACACTAGGGGATGGGGCAGTAAACCCAGTACAGTAATAGAAGTCACAAAGTGAAAACCAGTTAAATGACATGCTGTAAGAATCTTTTGGACCCCATTGTCCAAAAGACATCCGGTTGG